CACTCGCTTTTCTTTGTCACAGGGGCATCAGCTTCGGGAACCGCTCAGAGGTCTTGCTGTCCTGTTTCCCTAGTTTCCAGTCCTCCATGCATGCACTGTGTCTGCGCTCTGGTGCAGATGGCTAGGGCTGGGTGTTTAGCAGTCCTCGGCTCCCTCTCCCTCCCTGCTCTGACTCCTCCCCCCGGGAGCTGGGGTGAGGGCGCTCGGGTCCCGCCGGGCCGGGGCTTATATCTTACCCCTTTCACCAGGTGCTGGACTCTCGCAGGTGTCAATATACTCTGGCTGTTGTCCTGTGTCTTCTGGTCTCTCTTTTAGGATTAGTTATATTTGTTGCATTTTCAAAAATATATATGTTTTTGGGAGGAGATTCCCACTGTTCTACTCATGCTGCCATCTTCACTCTGTCTCTTCTCCTGTTTTTCTTATTCCCCTACAGACATTCATGTGTTCATCTTTTTATTGTGATCTTGCAATGATCGTCTTATATTCTGGTTTCTGTCATGTTTTTCAGCTTCATTTTTCATGGCTGTGTAGCATTCTATCAAGCAGGTATGTCGTAATTGCTTAACTGTTCTCTTGTTGTTGGTTTGCTTTGTGACATATTTTTTATGACGTATTTTTAATGATGCCTTTGTTTTGTTCTGGCTTTTCAGGCAGAGACATTTCTATGGGTCAGCAGCACCTCAGCGCATTCCCGGAGTGTCGCCAAGGCCAGATACGGATTTTTGTTTGGCACATCTGATGAGCAGACTCCAGACACTAGTGAGTGTTCCCCTCCCTCCTTCCCCAGGTAACAGGTGTGAAGTCAGTGAAATTTAAAATCTCAGAAGCTGGAAATTCCTCCAACCAAGAACTGACTTGAAATTACCTAGAACAGTTACAAGAATCATGTCCAATTTTCCAAATTCCGCATCTTAGGAAGATTGTTTTCATCAACAGTTAAAGTGAGCAGGTTTCCCAGAGATAGGAAGGCAGCAGAGCAGGTAGGGAGGAAGTGCTCAGTCAGTAGGTGGTACTGGGGACACTGACCTGGCTGGGTAGTTGGGCAGGAAAGGGCCAGTGCGTGGGGCCAGGAGCCTGGGCTCTGGAGCTGGGCTTCCTGCGTGTGGAGTCTGGCCTCGTCACTACGAGATGTGTGACCTTGAGTAAGTAATCTAATCTGTGTACCCCAGTTTCCTCTTCTATGAAATGGGCTTCTGGTTACACACTCTCAGAATCCTTTTGAGGGTCACGTGCCTTGGCACTCGTTGTGCTCTTGGTGACGCCCAGCAGCAGTGTGCTCAGTGTGCAGCTCCCGTCGCTTACCGCCCTCATCATTGTCAGATCCCAACCGCTCCAGCTGACATTTGGAAGTACAGCCCTGGCTTCCCTTGCCTCTGCCACTCGGTGTCCCTGGTTTCTATTTTGGTAGGCAAGGGATCTGACTGAACATAGCTGCTCTTAGTTGAAAAAGCCCAATAATAGCTACTTGTCTGCCTTCTGTGTTGGTGGGGGTACTTAACAGACCTGTAGCTTGGAGACAGCAAGAATGCAGTGCATGCGTAGCCATTTGATCATTCCTTTTAACTTAATAAAGAATATTTATTAGCTATTTCCATACTTGGGGACTCTTAGGGACATATAAAACAGCTAGATTGTTTTTTCTTGTCCTCAGAAGTCTTTTTTTTTTTAAGAGATTTTTTAAATTGCGGTAAAGTTGATAGACAATCTTATGTTGGTTTCAGATGTACAATATAGTGACTTAATAATATACATTACCAGATGCTTGCCGAAATTAAATTTTAAAAAACACTCTGCTTTTATCAGGTGCCCTGATTTGCTATTTATTCCACAGTGTAAGTACCCAGCTATTCTGGGCTTGAGGTTTGGGCACTCGATCATCTGTTCACTCTTTTTCGGACAGGGAACACTGATTGTAGTCACCCCACAACTGTTTAAGACTCCTTCTCGGCATAGCCTTAATTTTGAATCCAGTGATTTTGTGCTGATGAAGCTTTTTCTGACTTTGGTAAAACCTGACTCCCATAGTGCCATGTAGAGGTAGCATCAGACGCCCACCTATCTTCTGACTTAATGGGGGGTGAGTTTGGATCTCCCTTCCTCAGAGGTTTTGAGTCATTTTCTCTACCTGAGACAAATCACAGTGACATTTTCGACTTCTACTCCTCATTTGCCTCAGTTTGATGCAATTTTGCAGGTGTGGGGGCACGCATGCCCATATCGAACAAATGCATTTGATGAGCACATGTTATGTGCTTGTCAGCGGTGCTGGCCACTGGGAGGGTGCAGGGAGGTAGAAGACACTATTCATGCCCTACAGGGGCTTATGCTTTGGCCCGGAAGAAACATGTCTCCAAGGGGCAAGAGGGGGAATGTCTGCCTTCAGTATCATGCTGGAATGATGGAGGAAGTGGAAGCAGCATGTGTCCTGAAACAGTGACTAGCATTCTGATTTAGTGGACTTTGGGGGAGGGCACTGCGGATTGAGGGAAGGTGTGTGCAAGGTTGCAGTGGCAGAAAACACATGTTTGAGGAACAGGGAGGAGACTAGCCTGGGTGGTTTGAAAGTTTATCAGTGAGAGGCAAGCATGGAAAGATAACCTTTCAGAAGGGGCAGAACCTGTGGGGTCTGCTAAGGCAGGGTGACAGGCAGTTTGAGACAGATAATCAAGATTGATTGGTCTAGAAATTGGAATGGGGCAACAGAAGCTGTCGCTTAGCCGAGGAGGGTTGTAAGATGCAGGTTTATATTGAGTTTTGGAAAGTATTCTTTGTATCTTCACAAAGAAATGTTGGCACATTTTTATCACTTCAAAAAAACTCCGAAGGTTCTTTATGTAGACCATAAATCTGTCGTCAAAACACTGCCCAAACTCTGAAGACTGTGGGAAAAGCAGCAGAGA